GGCTATTTTTTGGTTGCAGCCGTCATTGTTGTTTGGCGGTCCGGGCTGGGGATTTGAACCCGCCACCTTAGGTGTACGTGGCTGGCGCCTTAGCCAGTTGAGCTATAGGCGCCGAGCCACTCACATAGTCTTTAAAGTTTAATCTCCCATGTGAGTCTTTCCTTAAAGGACAAGCTGAGCTGAAAGTCAGCTTTTTCATACTAAGCACATTTATTCCATCCTGTTTTTAGATGAGTTATCTTTTCTGTCAAACAAGTTGTATTCCACTCATTTCCTACATTATCCATATATGTTCACTCGATAGCCTATGTGATTCCGTCAAGCTACAGGAAGGATGGAATCTACAGAAGCATCTCTTTCTCTCTTCCTCCCAATAAAACTACTTCCTTTTTACAGAAATTATTTTTTTTGCTAAAATTTAGTTTATTTGAAAAGACTGCCATGTTCTTATTTGTAGAACTCATTTCCTACTGAATGACAAGTAAAAAAATGTTAAATTCTTATAGGATTTCTTATGATCATAACTTTTATAACAGTCCCTTCCCTAATGACTAAATCTAGTTTATATTTCAAGTATTCTACCCAATAGCCTTCTTGGGGTGGACACTAAGAGCAATGTTTTCTTGGGGTTGACACTAAGTGAAAGCTGAAGATGTGACTGCCATCAAATTTACTTCAGCACATTCTTTTTATCTTCACAGCATCACTCTCAATTTGGTGCTTTCTTGAGAATATGGCATTTATCAAATTTTCTTGCTACTTCAACAACCAGGGCCTAGGCTGTCATTTTTGTGAACACAGAAAATTGGAAAGGTATACAAGTTGAGTTGTCCAAAAGGTCCAGCTTTGAATTCACTTCCAATTCTGTCCATTAATGAGGGATAGCAATGCCAGTGGTGGGATAAAGAGACCACTATAAGGGACAGATGTCTCAGCCAACAGTAAAGGGTACCAATCCAAACACATTTTTATGTGCTGACTGGATCTCCTGAGGTCCAAACAGGTATACTCAACTGGCTTTGCAAACCTCTTTATTTCTTACTACTATTTTTTCTTAGAAGTATAGAACTTCTGGCTCGGCGCCTATGGCTCAAGTGGTTAAGGCGCCAGCCACATACACCTAATGTGGTGGGTGCCTCTACTCCCAGCTGCTCTGGAGGCTGA